TATGAACCTGATTCTACTCAAAACTCTTATCAGTAGGTCCTCATTTTCAGAAAGGGAAGAAGCTATACAGAGACACTGGCCTGCACACCACAAGCCTCTCTTCTCTAACCATCTCTCCTACTACTCTTTCCCTTTTATCCTTGTCTAGTCATCCTTATTGTAGCATCTTTATTGTCTTTATAATGTACCATACACACCCTTCACCAGCATCAGCAAGAGCTGAAAAGCTGAACAATAAATATAATGTGGAGGAGATTCTGAAGTTTCTGGTTTATTGAGAAGAAGTTGAGCAAAAATGTAGTCTCAGCCAGTTCAGTAGAACACAGGCCAGCAGACTATTTATTTATTTATTTGTTTGTTTATTTATTTATTGCTGATCCTGGGGCTTCAACTCAGGGCCTGGGTGCTATCCTTGAGCCTCTCTGTGCTTAAGGCTATCACTCTACCACAGCACAACTTCTAGCATTTTCTGAGTAGTTTATTAGAGAGAAGAGTCCCACAGACTTTCCTGCCTGGGCTGACTTCAAACTGCAATCCTCAGATCTCAGCCTCCTGAGAAGTTAGTGGTACAGGCATGAGCCCCTGGCATCCAACTGGCCAGCAGACTTCTAAAGTAGAGTCTATGATCTTGTGATCATATAAAATAGATCAGGACATCTTCACTCTGCCAGAAAACAATTACAGACAATATAGCATGAAATAAAATTTTATTTGCAAAAATATGCATGCTGGATTAGACTTGATTCTAGGGCTCTAGTTCACCACCTTTATCAATATTACTCCCTCACAAGAAAAGAAGGAAAAAGGAAAGACAATTATCTAAAGAAAACTTGTTTGAAAACGAAGGTTTGTAAATGGGCAATGGTCATGTTTAATCACATGTTCAATCACATCCACACATGTGAACTCAATTCAGTTTATATTCATGGATTGCCCTTAACTTTAGTCTAGGTTCCCACATTCTTCTTCATAGTGCTCATAGCTCTTTTATCTCATTCCTTGTAGTCTTTGCCAAGTGATATTCTGGTTCATTTGACAAACGAGAGAGATGATACAGGGTAAAAAATTGAAATGCCTTTCCTTATCCATCCTAAGGATAATGGCTGGCAAGTATCTAATAAGAAATAAATTAGGAAGAGAAAAGCCTAACACATATAGTCAGAACTTTAGGTGACACTGGAACCTACAGAAATGAAGAAGCAAAGTCTCAGGGACATCTTTCTTTCTTTCTTTCTTTCTTTCTTTCTTTCTTTCTTTCTTTCTTTCTTTCTTTCTTTCTTTCTTTAAGTGCTAGGAATGGAACATTCTCCTCTAGGCATCTATACACATGATTTATTCTTTATCTTCTTTAATGGTTGGCTTATATAGTATTGTCTATTGCCATCCTTATATAAAATTACATTCCCCACCTTTTCTTTAGTCTTCCAAATGACACTGCATGTTATTTCCCTTCGTATTAGTTACCACCATCTAAAATACTAAACACATCATTTGTTCATTAGATGAATCCATGGGATCTATGATGTCAAAGATATTTGTATTTGTGGTTTAAAAATAATGCTTACAATAGTGCCCAGTACCAAATGCTTATTAAATAATTGGAACCTCTCTCTCTCTCTTTCTCTCTCTCTGTCTCTCTCTCTCTCTGTCTCTCTCTCTTTCTCTCTCTCTCTTTTGTGGGGATAGGTTATAGCATAAACTGTCCTTAGTCATTAAAATCTACATTTCACTGTTCTGTGTCTTGGAGTCCATTCTTTGAGCGTGGTTGGTGGCTCAATGTGTTTTTTACACTGAGATAAAGTCTAACCCAGCATATGAATTTTATTTTTGTAAATAAAGTTTTGTTGGTGCACAGCTTATACCCTCATTTGCATGTTTATAGCTGTTTTCTGGTCAGGTGAAGTAGTCGTAACCAAGCCCATATGACCACAAGATCATAGCTGCTTCACTTGAACAGTCTGAGGACCCGTGTTTCACTGAACTGGCTGAGATTACGTTTTTGCTGAAGGTGGCCTTGAGAAAGCAGAGACTGCTGAATCTGCTCCCTACTGCATTTGATGCCCAGATTATCAGCTCTTTTTGATACATGGAAGGGATGGAAGCCAGGTTTCCAGCAGGCCTCTAATGAAGCAAGGGGCGGCCCAATGGTCACCAAGTTCCCATTGCCTCTCTTGGTCACATTCAGATGAGAGAACCAGAGACAAGTAGGTGACTGATGGGGAGATCATCCAAGAAGGAGAGAGAGAGGAGATGAGGCGAGTTGAAAATTCAATCGTCCTAAGCATTCTCTAGAGTCTTCCTAACATTTTCACTTCTAGAGGACAGCGTTCTGCCTGCTAGGACTTCGTGAATTGAGTTTTGTCCTCAGGGACAAGCACACTGCTTGCATTGACTTCAATGAGAGTAATGGGCCAGTTGGTCCCTGGACATCTGTGCTAGCTTCAGGCTATTTAACAAACTCCTAAACAAATCCCAATAAAGTGCTCTTTAATGAGAACTTAATTTTGTTGAGGGGGTGGGTGCTGAGCACACCTAAGTCCTTTCTTTCCCTTCAGGTTGACTAACTTTACTCCTTTTTATGGCTAGATAATTACGGGCAACCAAGAACCCTGATTCAAGCAGTATTAAACCCACTCAAAGTCACAAGATGTCTGTTTTTATTGATCTCCAGTTGATCTGTTTACTCTCTGGATTCCAATTTAATGGCTCCATTGATTATTCATTTACATTTTTAATGTTGTTGTGGGCAAAATCATTTTAACATGAATCATCTCTAACTTAATGGGTGACATAACAAAGTCATCTTGGTTTTTCAATTTCAACAAGTATTTTTTTTTTGAGCATCTGAGATCCAGTTGAACTTAAGAGGAATGAAAAGGTCATTCCAATCAATGTAAAAATGATAGAAATGAAGATGATAGGAATGATAGTTTGATTTTATTTTTGCAGTAGCAGTCAATTATGAATGGTTCACCTGATGTCAGGGCAGAGATAGGCATTAGCTTTTGTGTCATCTCCTTACTAATTACATTTTGCCTAAATCCAAATTTAAGCCTATAATACACTTTTAATTAAAGTCTTTCTTAAATCCAGTTGTTTCAGTGATTTGTTTCTCTTGTAGATAATTTGCTAGAAATGGAGCAGTACTGAAAGATTATGCTATAGAAAGCTCACCATAATTAGGCCTGGTATGTTTTTATGACCTCATGAAGCTCTCTATTTAATAAAGTTAGACACTTACGTTCACACTATAACATTCTAGGCTCTTTAAATATACTTGTGGAGTTCATTGAATAGTATGTTTTCTTCCTGTATAGCAAGGAAGTGAAGCTCTAAAACTATGTGTGCCTGTGATTTATCCTTTCTAATAGGACTATTTTCAATGTAATAGTTATGAATGATCTATCCAATCACATCCTACCACCTTCACGTCTTTCTAAAATGAGATGAGGCACAAGAAAATACATAAGTGCATATTTCCAACCTTAATAGTCACTTTTATCTGACAGTGTAAAATAGAACCAGATTTCAATGGCACATAGAGGAGGTGGACTATTCATAATAAGGGATAAGGCTTGGAGAAAAAGAGAGGGGGGAAGGAAATACCATTACACAGTTCAAAGGTGCTTTCTTTGACTAATTTTCACGGATAAGCTGATTAGTCTCATTATCAAATGTATAGATCAAAGGAAAGGTATAATTTGAATTCCTGGATAAAAATTCAAACAATAATATTATTTTTTGGAATGATTAAGCTCTCTTCTGGATGCCAGGTTTATGATAGGTAATGTATTAGAAATGCAAGATAGAATTAAAGTGTTGAGAAATTTCCAGTGTCGTAGCACAGACATGTATTATTGCCACAGACCACCTGAGATAATGCCTTCATTTCTCATATTCTGCCTATCCCTCTGGGAACTGTAGGAAGCTTAGATAGGAGTAATGTTCGAGTAGGAAATTATTGAGAATGAAGCAGTTTACTCAGGGTTAGTCTCAGGAAGAAGTAGGAAAAACTCATGGTTGTTTAAGAAATAATAGACTTTTCATCCTAGCTGATGTGAGCATATGGACAATGGGAGGAAAGCAAGAGCCCTGATTAATGAAAGTAAAAATGACTCCATCTTAGAAATGCTTTGAAGTAGAAGGTTTGGGACTTTATTAGGTGGACCCTAGAGTTGAACCATAAAGGGCAAAAGGGACTCTGACCTATCCTGAAATGCAAGCAAGAAGAAAGAGGGAAAAGTAAGGTAAAAGAAAGGTTTCAAGGGAGGGAAGGGCAGAGAAAGTATCTGATGAGTTTAGAAGTTTAGTTATTGAGCTCAGCCCAAAGTTTTGTAATCCTTTTGCCAGGAAATGGCCCTCTTTGATCTTTGATGATAATCTCTAACTGAATTCCACTTGGGAAACTTTCCCTTTCCTACATACTTATATAACTATGTATCAAGTTCGAATATTATTCTATGCTCAGTTCAGTTACAGTCTCAGTCTGCTTTTTGGCACTGGTGGGGGTTTTAGCTCAGGGCCTCATGTACTTGTGCATGACTCCAGGGTTTGGGGCTTTAGGTTATTTTTCAAATAGGATCTTTTATCTTTTTTGCCTTGGGCTGTGATCCTCCCCTCTCTACCTCCTGCCTACCTGGGATTAAAACATATAGCATATGCACTACTAGTCACAATAAAGTTTCACAAATGAAATGACAGCTATGATACTGCCATTGGATTATAGCATGTATCATTGGTGTTATATATTTTTTAAGTGCTCCTAATTTTGATAGTGAAAGGACCATTAGAAAGGATGGAAGAAACAACACAAATAAAAGGAATTTGAATCAGCTACATGTGGCATTCCTACATTACGTTAAGGTTTTTCAAAATTAGTTACACATAAAAGGACAATTTTTATGCTCCGCCCTGCAAAGCAAGTCTCTTGTCCATAGAATACTGGTTCCCTTTGTTTACAACAGACATGGTTGCGGGGAGGTCTTGTGTCCATCCCATACCTGTGCTGTCTTCGTACACCACAGTCACTGTTTTCCAGTTGTAGTAGAGGACCAGATCCAGGACTGCTCTGCTGATAGCTGCATAATCCGGGTAGAGGTTGATGTAAAACAAGTCTCTATTGTCCACTGAGGGGTGTTTCCAGCGAGTCTGTATGTGTGGAACTTCAAGAGCGTTGCAAATAGACTGCACTGCACTGACCGAGGAACTATGGGAAGGCCCAAAGAGGGCAGCCACACCAAGAGCCAGCTGGTCGCATGCTGAGGATATCCGAAGACAAGAAATGGAGGAGAAGGAGGGCAGGGAAAGGAGAGAGAACAGAGTTCTATTAATGTCAGTTTCACTTTTCTCATTCTTGTGTTTGACTACTGGAAAATCTATAGGCTCCTTCCAACTTCCAATATTGTTGAGTTCCCTAAGATACGGATAGGTGCAAATGAGCAATGCATCACAGGGCCAACTCCCTGCAAATAAAAATGAGTTACTGGCTTCACTTCATTACCTTCAATCAGATGGAGACTAAATCCCTTGCTTGATGTGGTATTACCCGCAAGCACTCTGTGTGCTAACTAGCAAACCATTTGTCATATGAATGTCAGATGAATTAAGTTCTGTCACATGGCACGGTAGAAATGAATATATTAGTGTGGTCATACAATAGAGATGAAAGACCCCGTGGGTGACTGCAAAGTTCTTTAATTCCTCACTTCCCAAAACTCAGAAGGAGCTCCAGATTATTAAAAATACTGCTGTTGAACAATATTCATAAGCAGTAATGACACCTAATTAATTGCAGAATAATGGAATAGCAGAACATAAAAGGAATCTGTAGAAGACCTTTGGTCCATCCCACTCAATTCATAGACAATGGTCTTTGTCACACCCACTGGTCAGTAGCAAAACGGAATCAGAGTTCAGGCACCTCAGTTCAGGTCAGCTCAAGGCTACTTTGGGAACCAATTATCACCCATTATGTAGCCTAACACAATGAAGTCATCCCATATTAAGAGAAAATGGTAGTAATAAGAATTTATTTATTTTCACTAGAAGGATATATCTCCAAGGGAATTTAGATTATTTAAAGTGGATAGGAGACTGCAAGGCTCTGTAAATAATTCATCATCTTGAATAATACCTATTGCAGTACAGCTTGATCCAATGCTCTCTCCAGTGAACACTAAGTATAAATTCATTTTTTATTTCTATAGCATAGACTATTCTATGGCAATAGTTTATAATTTAAAATGTTCATGCCTCTTAATTTTTTATTGTAAGTAGTAACACAGTACAGTAATATTACAATAGATTGCAACAGTTGAGTACCAGCTATTATGAAAAGTTGTTTGATATTTCTAACTATTTAGACCATATTAACAGAAGGTTTGAATCCATTTATCCTATGCAACCATGTAAAACAGTGGCTCTTATTCTTAGCCTGGCAGGTGACAAGTATGTTTAAATGCATTTTCAAATTTACGTTGGAATTCTATTTTAAATGAAGTCAGAGATGCTAAATGATAAATAAGTGTCAGAATTAAATAATATAGTAGAATAGTGCTGGTTTTAGTAATAAAGCCATCTTGTAAATAACCATTAGAAAAATTAATGGCTCTGTCATTTTCTCTGATTTGATATATAAAGAATAATGAATAAAAATGTGATGGTCATGCTGCAGATATCTAAGACAACAAATATGAACAATTATTCACAAGGTGTCTGATTGAACTATTGCATACTGAACTGCTGTGTCTGTATTAAGTGTTGTCAGTGGAAATGGTCATTGTCCTGAGAAGCTCACTTCCAGATGTGTTTTTATTAGTTAGCCAGATTCAGGGTGAGCATGAGAATATTCAAACTGTAATGTTAGCCAGCATGAGCAATGGGTTGAGATTTGTGCTAATATATGGCTCTGGAATGTTAATATTTCTTGACAGAAAATCAATCCTTTTGAATCCTTTTTGCAAGCAAATTACCAATGTGAAGAAACTTTGGGGTGTTTTTAAGTATTGCAGGTGGTATGCTTTCAGTTTTTATGTGAGTTCAATGTAAGTTGAAGTATCATTGGTAAATGTTAGCTTTCTTTGACACTCATGCAGCAGTGTGTGTGTGTGTGTGTGTGTGTGTGTGTGTGTGTGCATGTGTGTATTTGAGAGATAGAAAGAGAGACAAAGAGATAAGTGAGAGATATGGATACAGAAAAAATGAGACAGGAAAGAGAACTGACTGAAGGAGATAATGCATATGAAGATTATGAAGATGCCTTGTGAACTTAAAGATAAATAGAAGATTTTACTATTTGTTCATGAACAATTGTGACCTATGAGAATGCTCCATTTATTTTTTTTCTTCTTTTCCTTTTCTTTCTTTGTTTTAATGATACATGGTCTCATTTTGTAGCTCAATCTATCCTCAAACCCTTCTCAGCCTCCAAGTGCTTGGATTGTAGACATATACCACTATATCCAGCTTCCATCAATATGGAAGAAGCAATTATTCTTACACCAAGATCATAATATAGATGTAAAAAGACCATTAAGCTATTAACTTTCTACCATTCTTCTAAGAAAAGTTTTATATTTTGTTTGTAACAGCACTATAATTTTTTTTAGAACAATGTACCAGGCAAACACATCCTATAATCTATCTAAATTAACTCAGTTAATGGTGGACATTCAGCTAACATGAAGTATTCTATTTATTTATATTTATTTATTTTTATATATTCTATATATATAAATATATATATTTGTGTGTTTATAATAGGTATGATGTTCTTTGTGAAACAAAAAGCCTCTCTGATTCTGGGGGTAACCAGCAACTGTTCCCCTCTATAAACTCATTTATCTGGTGATTAGACAATTCTCTTGTAAGAGCAATTGCTTCTGTTAGATCAAATGTGATCTTGCCTGAAAAATATCATTCTATAGTTTCCCTGAGGATTTTCTAAGTCAGCCCTACAGTCATGCATGAATCTTTCCATGAGGGACACTTGTAGCCTACCTATAAATTAGATTACCATTGGGTACTTGTCTTTGTTTCAGAAAGAATAAAGATAATCAAATTCAGATTGTTCCCATTGCTTTCATCTTTATCAAATCATGTTTTTTGTGGGCAGATTAGTAAATTGAGAAGATGGCTAGGTGAGCCCAGTGGTTTGTAATGAGTTAAAATTCAAGGTGGGACTTATGTGTATTGGCTATTTCCACATGCTCTGTGGATGTGACCTTCCACCGTGTTTTATTTGACTGCACTGTATGATTTCATGGCGGTATCGCAATTTTGGGAAGGAAAAACAGATCATGCTTGACATTTTCCATTCACAGCTGAACCAGTGAATCATAGAGTCGAGGGCACTAAAGGGTAAGCTATTCTGAAAGATGCAGAAAAATGGGGTTAGGCAGTGTCCATTAGCTGGTTTGGATTACCTTGATCAGGGACAATCTTGACAACCAAGAGTTTCTATGACCCCTTTACACAAAGATGTCCACTTTGAAAAAGGCCTAACAGAGAAAATAAGGTGACCCATAGAGCAGACTTATCACCCAAAGTAGCTTTGAAAGGTGGAAAAATAGTTACCTCTTCGTGAGGCTTCAAAACTATCAAAAAGATTAATTCTCTGGATGTCATAGGTTAATGTGGTGTTAGGCATCAGGGTTCGGTTTCTGTTAATACTGGTGACTGCAAACTTGAAAGCTAATTCTTCAACATTAACAGGTTCATTTTCCACAGTTTCAAAAATCCCTCCTGCAAAAACAGATGCATGAAAAACAGTCATTATATCATTCACATTTAACATTATTTTTTTTTAAAGAACCTGAATGACAAACAAAAGGTAAAAATTCAGGGACGATTAGGCAGATTCTAAATCCAGGGCTGAAAGTTTATGTTTATCAGAATGTGTTACATGAATATAAGTCTAATTGCATATGCATATTTAATATTTCATAGCCAGTGCTTGATTATATGGGATTTCAGGCAGAATGTCTATTACAATTATTATTTTTTCACCATGGAAATATAGTAGATAATATGGTAGAAAGTAACGTTCTGTGGTTTGTTACAGAATTACATTGTGCTTGACTTGAAAACATGACTTCAGTAATGACTCGAATGCTTGATAAACATGACTTGAAATTTATCCTGGTTGGATCATCTGCTTTGAAGGTTCTTATTCCAAAGCTTGTAAAGGGATCTTGTACAGAGTTGAGTGGTTGAATAGGGTCCAGGTGGGATACTCATACTCTTACATTTTTCAGAGTGTATACATCTTTTTTATGGTTCCTGACTCAGAATTTTGGGGGGTCATACTCTTAAGATATTCCCAAGTATATGAGCCAATTCAGAGAACTGAGGTTTTCTTTTTCTTTTTGAAAAATTGCTCGGTCAAGCTTAAAAAGCACCTTTAATCCTAACCCTGAAGAAATGTTTCTCTATGGAGCCATGTTCTAATGTCTTCAACATGAAGATTTCGCTATAGGTAACAATATCAGTGCTTAAAGTCTGACCAGGGAATTCATCTCTGACTGATGGTGAATAGAGACAATATAAGGAATGTTAGCTACACATTTATTTGGGGGGGGATTTTAAAAATTATTTTTACATAGTCATTCAAAGGAATTGCCATTCGACAAACAGTTTATGAAAACAATACATCTTGATCAATGTCACCCCTTTCAACCTTCTCACCACTCACAACTCACCCTTTTCCTCACTTTTCTTAAACATTGACATTTCTACCACCTAACAAAGCAGTTTATGAACAATGCATCTTGATCTGTGTCATCCCTTCACCATTTTCTGCCCCCCCATCCACCCTTTCCTTTGTTTTTCCTAATTTTGTGGTATATACAATAAATTCTTGACTACATTCCTCCCCCCCTTCCTCTTCATCTCCCCACCTCCCCTTGATTCCACATCCCTTTTGCAAGTATCCATTTCCTGGTATTTATTTTGTTGGGCTTTGACTTTCTAAAGAACTATATTATTTCAGCTCTCCATAGAGTCTATTATACTTTAGTGAATTCATTTTTAACCACTTGCATACTTTTAGATTTATAGGCACAACCAATGAGGGAAACCATGAAACTTTGCTTCTCTGGGTCTGGCTTATTTCACTTACTCAAAAAAACTAAACAAAGAACTACTCAATGACCCAGAAATTCTACTCATGTGCATTTATCCAGTAGAGCACCAACAATACTACAGTAAAGCTATAAGCACAACCATGTCCATTGCAACATGCACCAAAAATGCTACAGCAAAGCTACCAGCACAACCATGTCCATTGCAACACAATTTACCATAGCCAAGATATGGAATCAGCCTAGATGCCCCTCAATGCATGAATGGATCAATGACTGAATGAATACACAACAGAATTCCACTCATCCATCAGAAAGAATGATATTGAGCCATTCATAAGGAGATGGAAAAAGTTAACTTGAAAAAGTTATATTAAGTGAAATAAGCCAGACACCTAGAAACAAAGGTTGCATGGTTTCCCTCATTTGTGGTAGCTGTATATTCTTAACGGTCATTAAGAGCTGGAATTATCAAAGATACAGAGTATTTGAAACAGGCTGTATTCTTCTGTGTTTACTGAAACTTCTCATTTACTTTGAAAATACATTAACTGCTGCTCATGGAGTACTGGACGCTTGCAACTAGCAGGGTGTTATTTATGTAGACTTACCATTGAGTGATTCCTTACCAAAATTCTGTTGTAGAATTTCCCCCCCCAAACTTATTGATGCCAGATCAATTTACAAATGCTTTAACATGTCTCATAAAAGAATATTAAAAAGTCTGAAATGAAAACCATGCAGCATGTGTATGATTTATGTACATTCTTTCTTGGAGAATTCTTGATAAATTCCAGTTAAAAGTATCCTGATCCTACTTTCAAAGAATAGCAAACAAATATACATCTGTAATTTTCTTTGGGCTAAACTGACCTTTTCTCTCAAAGAATCTACTACAATATCTGGCTAAGAAAGCAAATAAAGGTTATATTGAACTAATTTGATTTTTTAGGATATATTTTCACTATTGGTAGACTAAATTGTATGATTATTTCAAGTATTGATCATTTACCTGTTCTCTGAGAAACTATGTTGAAATCTGGGTGACCACCTTGTAAGGATCCATATCATACATTTACTCCAAAAACAGTGTGAGGAAAAACTTTGCTCTTCCATGTGTGTTATGCTTTTGTAAGACAATTATACCTAGAGATTTGGGGATGGAATTATCATTTCTCTCACAACTGCTAGTGGAAGCTGAACACAGACATGGTAAACTAAGGCAATAAACAAGTCACCGAAGGAAGATGAATATGAGGAGAGTTTACTGCAATGGTTAGGCTGGCCTACATAGAAAGCTCTTTGGCATTAAGACTTCTGCAATAATTATTAGTAATCACTTATTTATTTGTGTATCTCCCCAATCTCATCGAGACATGTCATGCAGAGAGACACCAGTCTCTCTTATTTAAAATTGCCATCCCTATTGAGACCCTTGACCCAAGGGTCAATGTCAATTCTAGGCTCAGATGTATATAGAATTGATGTGTGTAGGCTAGTCTGGTAAGAGGAGCAAACACCTCAATAGGAAACAGAAGTTTTTTCTTTTTTTTTTAATAAGTTTTTTTTTATTGTGAAGATACCATACAGAGGGGGTACAATTACATAAGCAAGGTAATATACATTTCTTATCAAGCATTCTTGCCTCCTCCTTTGTTTTTCCCCTACCATCTCCACGCACAACTACACCCCCTCTCCCCTGCCAAAGTTCATTTTTTGACATAGCGTCTTGTACATCTCATTGTTGCAATGGGTCAACCTTTATCCCTATTTAAACTATTTGTTTTTTCCCTTCCCTTCCCCAAATTATACCAACATCAAATACAGTTAAAACTGGGATTATACCGTGGGGGAGGGACATACAAAGCAACAAAAAAAAGATCACCTTATAAATACAATATAAACAATAGCAAGGAAGAAAAAAAACACTTGTGTCCTTATCTTGGGTTCACTTTGCCTAACATCATCTTATGGAACAGAAGTTTTGAAGATAAACATTGGCTTACCAAATTCCTCTCTGAGGAGGATATTTAAGTATCTTACTAAAGTCACTATGAAATAGGATTTTGTGAACACTGGATTCAAACTATAATAGGTAGGTAGAATTTTTTTGTTTTTACAAATGCAAAAGGGAAAAGGGAGATTATAACTTTTATCCAGAATTGTCCAAGACAAACTCAGATGTCTGTCCCATATATACAGATATACATATATGTATGTATATGTGGGTATACATGTATACATATCATATATATGTGTGTTTAATTACATTTTCTTTATCTTTCTCTAAATGTGGTTAGTAAGGGAGTTTTGCTGGAACTTGATTAAGATAATGCATTATAAATACTGTGAAAACACAACTGTTACCCTGAAATTGGCTGATATTTTGCCCATGGAAAATGGGGATAAAGTTGAGTCAGCACCGATCGAACAACTTCCTGCTTAGCTCAAAATTTCCTTAGGTATATACATGTCATCAGCATAAAACTGAGTGTACCTGCGCTAAAAAACATTTTAACTGTTTTTAATTACTGCTTAGAGTATGTGTAAGTGTATTTTGTCATTTTGAGAGGAATTCCTGTATTCTTTTATCCAATGAGAATTATTCATGGTGTCATTGGCTCAGTATCCTACCATAGTCTCCTTTTCTCCCAGAAAGGGCACAGTAACATAAAGTATACAGAAACCTGGAGAATTACCACACAGTAAAATTTGTTAAAATGATAAATAATAAGTAAATTGGAAAAACTTATAAGAGGAAACAGACTATTTAAGAATTTAGCACTTCGTCTCTCCTCTTTCTCCCTGTAATTTCACATTTTAGTTGTAAAGTCTTTGACAAGAAGTGTGAAGGAGCCAGGCACTGATGGCTCATGCCTGTAATCCTAGATACTCAGGAGGCTGAGATCTGAGGATCATGGTTCAAAGCCAGCTGGACAGGAATGTCTGTGAGTCTCTTATCTCCTGGAAGTGGCAGAGTGACTCAAGTGGTAGAGTGCTGGCCTTGAGCTGAAGAGCTGAGAGAAAGTACCCAGGCCCAGAGTTCAAACCCCATAACAAAAAAAGAAAAAAAGAACACTTACAGGAAATATCCAGGGATAACTGCATGATCCAACACACTCTTCTTCCCTCCCTCCTCCTTCTTCTCCCTCCCTCTCTTTCCCCATCCTCCTCCTGTCTCTTTCCCCTTCTCCCTTTCTCCCTTTCTCTCTTCCTTCCTTCCTTCCCTCCTTCATTCCTTCCTCCCTTCCTCTCTTGCTCCCTTCCTCCTTTCCTTTTCTTTCTTTTTCTAAAATTTATATTTGTGTGTGCTGTTAGTTAAATCTTTAAAAGGTATTTTGGGAGTGTATGTGTGTGAAGTGAATTTACGCCCCAGCTATTTGTAATCCAGGGAACCCTTTGGTTGAAGAGTTGGCAGGGGTTCCTCATTATTCCTCTACTCTTCCTCCTCTCTGTCTGGTGCTGCCCACCCTCTACCACCCATTCTACTCATCCTTCTCTGTCTCACGCACCATGGTCTCGCTCACTCTTCCTCATTGTTGCTGACTGGTGATTTCAAGCCCTACAAATTCACCAAGTGGTAGATGTAAATAAAACTTAGATCTAAGGAAAACTTAGAAGCCCATTTAGGCTCAAGGAGGAGAAAAGTAAAGCAGCTATCTT